CCGGGCCCCGGGGCCCACGCGCTGTTACCTGGTGGGGCTCTTCTTGTCTCCCATCGCTCGGCTACTAACGCACGCCCAGAGTCGCCGCTGCGGCCGCTCTGTTTGTCAATACGGAGGATAATAAGCCGGACGGAAGCGGGCGGGGGAAGAGAAGGGGGGCGGGGAAGGCCGCACCGCCAAGCTCGGGAGCCGCCGGATCCCACGCAGCCTCCAGCTGTCGGGGAAACTCCTGCCCGGCTCACGTGACCCACGCCGGCCAACCAGCGGCCGCGCCGGAGACTTCAAACGCGGCCAGCGCGGCCCAGCACCCGCGGCGAGTTAGCGGGCGAGTGGGCGGACCGTGCGGGGGTGGCCGCTGCGGCCTCGGGCGCTGCAGCCCTTGCTGCCCAGTTCCTGGCTTCCCCTCGCACCCACGCTGGCCGGGCTGCCGCGTGCTCCAGCGCCCTTGTGCGGGCGAAGCGTCTGTCCCGAGAGTGATTGGGGATGCTCTGTCATCCAGCGCGAAGCTTGGTAGGAGGCGAGGCTGGCGTTTGGAGGCCATCCCAGCTCGGGACAGGAGTGACCGCGCTGGATCTCCAGGTAGAAACGCTTGCCTGACCTCAGCCGCCTTTGGATACTCAGGACCTGACTCAAGGACACCTGAAGGAAGGGAAAACCCACATTGAGCGCCATTGCCAAATGCTTTCAAAAGCTGTCTGCTTTTATGCCCACGAGTGTTGCATCAAGTAGGGATTGTCATCTTTAATTTAGAAGAAACAAAACCGAAGCTCAAGAGAGATTAGGTGACTTTCCCTAGGTTACGTAATTAGAAAATGACAAAGCCAGGCGCTTAACCCTGTTTTAATCCCAAAAGCGTTTTTTTTTTTTCTTTTTTGGCCTCACTGGTCTTTTAAAAGAAAATGAGTGTTCATAATCCTTTAAAATGAGTTTACATATGCCCTGGACGCTGTGAGTTGACAACGGAAAGAATACCTTCCTCCTGGCTCCCATTACCTCAACATGCTAGAGGCCTTCATTTTGTACTAGACTCATAACGACTATTTAACTGGCCTCAGAAGCTCGAGTTCAAACTCCCCAATGCATTCACTAATCCACAACCAGATTAAAACTAAAATGCAGTTAACATTATGCCACCACTGTAATCAAGAACTAAGGGCTCCCAAACTCCTCAGCCTGGTGCTCAAAATCCTTACATGCATTTTACTTACCTCGCTATTAGACAAGCTGCCTCCTGACAAATGACTAGATGAATCTCATCTACCTCCTTCCTGCATATGGCTTACTTCTTCATAAAACATATCCCTCTTCTGCCTGTTCCATTGCCATCAATCTCTCTGTGTTTACATCAAGTTCACATTCCTATAAAGTAAAATTGGTAGCTAAACTGAAAAGGAAATAGTACAACCAGAAGTCCCATGTTCTTAGCCTTGTTTCTTCCGTTCCCTGATAGATCTTGGAAAGTTTGCTTAGTTTCTGTAATTTTTGACTTTTTCATCTACTGGGGGTGGTTGTGTGCTTACTGATAAAATAACATTTTTGGAGCACTGTGTGTCACTTTGTATATCTTACATAAATGCACATTTTAAAGGGCTTAGAGTCCTACTGAATGTTATCAAGTAGTCTAACCCTTCATTTTAAAGACAAAGAACTTAGGGCCAGGGTTAAGTGACTTTTCTTGAGTGCCATAACAAAGCACTGTAGACTGGGTGGTTTAAATAACAAGAAATTTATTTTCTCACAGTTCTAGAGGCTACAATCAAGGTATCAGCAGGGTTGTTTTCTTCTGAAGCCTCTCTCCCTGGCTGGGAGAGACCCTCTGTCTTCATATAATCTCCCTTATGTGCATGTCTGTGTCCTGATCTCTTCTTATGAAGACAACAGTCATTGGATTAGGATCACCTTAATGACCTCATTTTAATTGAATTACTTCTTTAAAGACCCTGTCTCCAAATATAGTTAGATTCTGAGGTACTGAGGGCAAGGATTCAATATATGAATTTGGAGAAATTATATTACAGTCCAGCCTATAATATCAATATAAAAAGTTCAAATATCAACAAATTTTTTTAATTAACATATCTAGCACATTCCTGTGACATTCACAATTCTCATCTGAAACTCTTAGAGCTAGATATATTTGGTAAGACATTTTGGGACTTTCAAAAGGTAGAACAAATGCTACATCATTATCATAACACTTTGAGTGGGTTCTGAGTTCGTGCCCAATAATTGACACATTAAATATTTCAGAGAAAATGTAAATATTCACACTAAATAGGAAAATTAAAGCCCATAAGTTTCCTCACATTATTTCTACTTAGGATTTGCTGCTAAATGATTATGGGTCAGGTAAAATATAAAAATGCTTTCAATTTTCAGTGCTTTTTGAATTAAAAGATTGTGGATCTATAAGAATTTAAGGAAGAATTAAGATTTAAAAGATTAAGGTTTAAAATGTCCAAAAAATGTTCATTGACACAGTAGTTCCACTTTGGTAATAAATCCTAAGGATTCAACCAGAAGTCATATAAAGCTTCTTCATAGAAACAGTCATTGCAGTTATTTTAAGAAACATTGAAAATAACCTGCATGCTCATCACAAGGGGAATAATTACAAGTACAAGAATTATGATCTAACAAAAATTTGTATTTTAAGCAGTCATTAAAAACAATATTGATAGTCCTCAGACACACACACACACACACACACACACACACACACACACTAATGAAGAATTTGTAATAAAGACAATGCTTCTGTTGTGAAAAGCAGAGTGTGCATTTGAATATACAAGATAGACTAAAGTATATAAAAAGCATAAGAAAAAACTCACAAGAAAACACACTAAGATACTATGGTAGTTTATCAGTCTCTTGATTTTTTTTCACTACACTAAGACTCTTTTATTCTAAAGTTTGCTCCCAGCCCATGTACCTTCTTTACTCTTAACTCCCTCTCTCCCTACAGTCTACTCCTTTCTAATAGGTCTCTATTTCACCCCAGGGTCTGGCCTTAATTAACAACATCACAAACCAGGTTTGCATTCCTTTTGCTTTGCCTCTCTACTACAAAACAACCCAACCCTAGCTTCAAGATAGTTTCTTATTTACATAATTGGCTCTTATCTGCCTTGCTTAAATCCAGAAAGTAGTGTGAAGCGGACATCACTGAAAGTTACCTTGAACAGAAAGTTGGGAGACTGTTTCAAGACTTTAGCCAAGTGCAGTGGTGTATGCCTGTAATCTCAGCGGCTCGGGAGTCTAAGGCAGAAGCATTTCAAGTTCAAAGCCAGCCTCAGCAACAGTGAGGCACTAAGCAACTCAATGAGACCCTGACTTTAAATAAAATACAAAAAAGGCTGGGGATGTGGCTCAGTGGTCGAGTGCTTCTGAGTTCTATCCCTGGTTACCCATCCCCCCCCCAAAAAAAAACCCCAGACTTTACCCCACACCTATAAAGAAGGAGCACTGGTGGTGGTATCTCAGATAGTGTCATATAAAGCCTGTATTGCAAGTATGGGGAAAACTGCAAACTGCAAAAGAAAGCAGCTTCTGCCAAAGAAAGAATTGCTGTGCTGTGGGGATGCTCTAAGGAACAGGAAAAGGACTGAAAGCCAAAAAGAAGCAGATAGCAAAGAAGCATAGACCCTTTTTTCTCCAACTTTACTGTCTACTTCTGACACCTGCTACTGGCAGAGTAAGAAGGAACAAACTCATAAAGTAGAGCACTAGCTTTTACCATACCAAGTGGAGTGTAGAGTAGAGGCTGGGCTTGGGGCAGAGATGACTTTCTTTGACTACTCAGCATCCCCACAAACTTTTCTACATGTATTTGCACTTCTATGGAACATGAACTCTCTACCTTTCCCTCTATATGCAACCATCCTATGGATAAAGGCATTTTCACCTACTCACCAAAGTAAGGAGACACTACCTCCCAATTGTCATTCAACCCATCTCTGGAAGCAACCACACCATCCATCTCTACACTATTTTAATTACTTTTTAAATTCAGCTACAGTATTATCTTGTTTTCTCTTACCTAAGGACTAAATTTTCAAGGTAACCTCTAACAGAACTTATATTAAGTAATAAAAGGAAAAAGACGAAGAAGAAAAGAGTTCATATTTACAAATACTTGTACATGCACATACATAAAAACTGATGAAGAAAATGTATGTAGCTGCTGCAGTCCTCCTTTCTGTAACTTATCATGGGACTATAGTTGATATGTAAAACTTTTCCCCACCAGCTAGTCCATGTTTTCTTTTCATTTAGTCAAGCACTTAACTAGACTGAGTTCTTTACCTGGTGAGATGACCCAGACCTTCATTCCTGAAGAGTTTGAATGCTCAGTGGTCCTGACTTGCTTTAGTTGATAAAGTTCTCTTAATTTTTACTACTCGTCATTGAAGTACTAGGAGGTGCTTTCAGGAACCCTTTGGGCAAAATACATAATCATTTTTACCCTCGCAGGATATCAGCAAGCCAATTTTACCTTTTTTATTTTTGTATTAGAAATTAAACCTAGAGGGGCTGGGGATGTGGCTCAAGCGGTAGCGCGCTTGCCTGGCATGCGTGCGACCCGGGTTCGATCCTCAGCACCACATACCAACAAAAGATGTTGTTCCGCCGAGAACTAAAAATAAATAAATATTAAAAATTCTCTCTCTCTCTCTTCTCTCACTCTCTCTTTAAAAAAAAAAAAAGAAATTAAACCTAGGGGTACTTAATCAATGAGCCATATTCCCAGCCCTTTTTAATTTTTTTTTTTAAACAGGGCCTCTCTAAGTGCTTAGGGCCTAACTAAATTGCTGAAGCTAGCTTTGAACCTGATGTCCTTCTGCATCAGCCTCCTAAGTCACTGAGATTACAGGTGTGAGCCACCTCTAATTTCATCTTGGTTGTCAGGTTCAACCACCTCATCCAATAAAGCAACTCCCTTATTTACCTGTTGGTTCAGTAGTATACGGAGCACTAAATATCCAAGTAACTGTTTTATTTTCCAAAATTGTTGGACATGGTGGTGCATGGCTATAAACCCTGCAATTTAGGAGGCTAAGGAAGAAGGATGGTATGTTCAAGGGTTGCCTCAGCAAATTAGCAAGACCCTACTTCAAATTTTAAAAAAGTAAAAAGGACTGGGGATGTAAACTCAGTAGTAAAGTGCTCCTGAGTTCA